CTATTTGAATGACAAAGCTTTGCAAGCAAACAAATCATAATGCGCGCTACATACAAAAACAGTTCAATGCTTAAATATTTACCTCTCAACCATCTAATAATCCAACTTTCAACCATTCATAATTCAACACAGCAACAATCAATTGACAAAAAAAGAATGAGTACTAATATGCCTTCCTTTATTTGAAGGGGACAAAATATATACCACTCAATTTTATAATAGCAGTTTTTGTATCACAGTATAATATAAACAAAACTCAAACAGAATTGTTTCCAAAATATAGGTAAAGTCTTCATTTTGTGTGATCAACAATTATCTCATTAACAGTTCAGGTATTTAAAATTATTCCAATATATATATATAACAAGGGAAAAACAGTCCACTTGAGCATGTTTGTGACCATTACATTGTAGTGACTTTACATCCTCAAATCAAAGGGACTCTTTGGTTCCCCGATCAAAGTGATCTGTTTATCCTCCAATCTACTGTATAAATCCTAAGTGAGGTAACAAAAATGAATGCATGTACTTCATTAGGTAAATTGGTTCTGTTTATATCAGTTAAAGCACAAAACTGATTGTGATTGTTAATGTAATACATCAGAGGTTGGCAGTCATTCTGACCCAGGCTTTGATGATCTGGTGTGCAATGGCCTGTTCTGGGGGTATATACAGTCCCTGCGGGTGCTGCTTTGTCAGCATCTGGACCAACTCAGACCGACGAAACCATTGTACATCTTCCATCTCATCCTCGCCAACCTGCAGCACAAATAGTATTGTAATTTTCAGGCTCAGAAAAGTCTATATTGAAACATGTCGGATTACTTATATTTTCCTATCTTTTGTACATAATTTTATTTTATTCAAAATAAGTTGTTTAAAGGTTTTTACATATTTAATCCCTGTGAACTTGAAAGCAGGTCAAGGTCATTTTTTTGAGAAAAACTTTATAGCACTCTGTCCCAGGAACCTATTGGCCAAATATCATGGCCCTAGGTTCTCGAGTAAGAAGAGGTTTGTCTAGTTATCCATTTAATATAGAAATGAACTTCAGTAATATACCCACAGAAATATGTGACCCTTGGCCTCTTGTCTTTTTCTGGTTATAATTGTACCTGAACTCCTGACTATGTGAATGATAGCTTTGTTCAACTTATTCAGGGATACAAGGAGTAAAACTGAAGGAAGCAAACATTTCCTATTCTTCATTATGCTGAGTCATATACCTAATTAAGTTCGTATATTTTTTATCAGACTGATTTTGCAAAAAAGATACTATTTCTTACAAGCATAAAGTTAAAACATTGTACCTTGATGTTCTCAGAGGTAGCATGTGCTAAACAGCCCAGCATGAGGGAGCAAGGGAAGGGCCATGGTTGTGATGAGTGGTAGTCGACACGGCCAACCCGCACTCCACTCTCCTCATAAACCTCTCGTCGACAGGTGTCCTCTAGAGCCTCACCTGATAACAAGTAGAAACTGACTCAGTCATAACATTCATGTGTGTTTTATACATTGCTCTAATACACTTATTTACTCTTATAACTCTGTTTTACTGGTATCATACATGTCAACTGTCCCTCTTTGAGACGGCTAAGTGTCCCTCGGAACAATTACAAACTTAGGGTTCATACTAAACTTAATCAGTATGACAGTATCGCTGTCTCAGAAAAAGGCCTAAAAGCTGCCGATATCAGCTGTGTTCGGTTGATGATTTCAAGTTTCCTATGAACAGATCCAGAAGTTGTCAGTGGAAAGTAGGTCAAGACTTACACAGGTGGGTAAAAGCATTGAGAGTTTATAAAATGTAACATCACATAGACTTAGACATGGAATAACTCGAACATCTGATGCCTCTAAAGGAGGATTGGGCGACATAGAAAGGACCAAAAGCAGTGGGCAACAGTCCAACCCTACTGGCTGTAAGAATGTTTCAAAAGGACATATCAGAATAAAAGACAGCTATTGCTTACATCACACACATGGGTGGGAAACTCCACAATGTAACAGACTTGCCAAAGAGATTTGGTGATGGTGTATACCGTACCTATAAGATTAGGTGATGGTGTATACCTAAGAGATTTGGTGATGGTGTAAACCGTACCTAAGAGATTTGGTGATGGTGTATACC